CCATCCTGAGAACTGGTGGACAAGGAGAAGGACCCGGCTATGTTCTTCCAACTTCTTTCAGGATTTACTTTAACAGATAAAACCCAGTTCTCTAGTAGAGAACTGCAGCAAAAATGGAACTAGTCTGACAGCATACAGATACCACGCAAAGGATCTCGGCTCTCTGTTTTTAGATATTAATATTGCAAAGGAGAAGTTGCAACCCCTCTAGTGCTGCAGCTACTGGGAGAAGCCTTTTGGGAAAAGAAAGGAGATAAACAATAGCCCAGCCGTACAGAAAACCGCTTCCTAACTTCCAGGCAGCTCTGAATGAAGAGAGAGAGTTTGGAGTTGATATTTCAGACTTACTGAAAGCATCTGGCATCGGGCACACATTCCCGCTCCGCACACCATTTTCCTAGGCTTGTTACGGAAGCCGGCTAAGAAATATACAACCTGTGCACATCTGGTGCAATGAAGGACACAGCCTGGATTCATTTTCATTTCAGTATACGAGACGTACTGGCGCGAACAGAGTCAACTGCATCTAGCTCAGGCTCCAGCAAACACTCTTGACTCTGATCCCCGATGAAGGCCGGTGTTGACGAGCCACTAGAACACTGGAACAAAGTTCGAGTCCAGTGGAACTTTAAGAACTTTAAGACCAACAAGGTATAATCCTGGGTATCACCTTTCATGATACAAGCCTCCAGTTGTGAGAATGCCAGTTTGGTGTCATGGTTAAGTCCGTGGACGCTAATCCGGGAGAACCGTGTTTGATCCCCCACTCCTCCACTTGCAGCTGCTGGATGACCTTGGACAAGGCATAGTTCTGTCAGAGCTGTCCTTGAAAGAGCAGTCCTCGAAAGAGCTCTCTCAGCCCCACCTACCTCACAGGGTGTCTGTTGGAGGGAGGGGAAGGGAAAGGAGATTGTAAGCCGCTCTGAGACTCTGAGTGAAGGGCGGGGTATAAATCCAATCTCTTCTTCTTCTTCTTAAAAAAGCGGAAAGGAGATTGTAAGCCACTCTGAGACCAATTTCACACAAGAGCCGCGCCGCGCCTCCCTTTTCCCCGCTTCTATTAGTCAATTTCCCATTCGAAGCCGTATTTTGACCCCGCGGCTTTGCCCGATTTTCCCCGCAGTTTCGTTATCCTGTTTTTTGAGGATCACGAAACCGTGGGGGAAATCGGGCGAAGCTGCAGGTCAAAATGCGGCCGTGTGGCTTCGAGTGGGAAACTGGCCGATAGAAGTGGGGCAAAGGGAGGCGCGACTGCGGCACAGTTCTTGCGTGAAATCAGTCCCAGACTCTGAGTGAAGGGCGGGGTACAAATCCAATCTCTTCTTCTTCTTAAGAAAGCTTATATCCAGAATTAAACTTTGTTGGTCTTAAAGGTGCCACTGAACGCAGACTTTGTTCTGTGTCTTCAGACCAACACGGCGACCCGCCTGGATCTATCTCCCTAGAACACTGTCATTTCTGAGAGCTGAGATCACGTTAAAACCATGACTCCGTGTCTCTGAATCTCAGCAACTTTAAATGACAAACCAGGCTTTGCAAGTGAAGTTATACTAGTTTTTCAGACAGGCTGAGAGAAGACATGTCACAGGTATTCTGGTAATACGGCGGAAAGCGGAACGGACTGACAGTTCTGACTTCTACGACAGGGAGACCCTGTTCTACAGAGTGCTCTCCCCCAAAAAAGTTTTGATGTATCTTCTTGCTTACTCTTACAAACGTTCGGTGTCGTATCCCACCTTCTTGACAGCGACAAGGGGAACCCTTCTGAGCGTGACTGCGTTTTGTTTAAAGGCCAACACGTTTTCGCAGGCAGTGGGGAAGTTATCAAAAGAACACGGGCCTTTTCATATTTATTTACAGATTCCCCACAGGGGGGGGGAAAGGCTCCCATGATGAATAATTGAGTCTGAACTTCCTTTCACAGGAGGGAATAAAGAGAAGTCAGACAACTAATGAAACCTTTTTTAAAAAAAAAAACTTCAACGCTCTGGCAAACACTGAGGAAACCCATGTACGTGGCTGTGTTGGCACGTGTCAATTTAAATCACTTTTTATGTTGTTTTGTTTGCGTTTTAAAAAAAATCTTAACGTCTTATTGCTACAGCGGCTGCGTATACTTCTCACTGGTAACTTCTGTTCTTTACCAGTTTGGTGTAGTGGTTAAGTGCGCGGACTCTAATCTGGGAGAACCGGGTTTGATGCCCCACTCCTCCACTTGCACCTGCTGATGTGACCTTGGGTCAGTC